ATAAATATTTTGTTTTATTTGAAATTTTCATGTCTCGATTGAGATTTTACTATAGCCTCAATTTCAGCCTCTCTGTATTACATTACACAATGTGTGTCCATGGATGGACTTAATTATACTTGTAAAAATATTTATTTTAAATTAAAGAAAAAGTTATTTTTCATAATTTCTCAATGTGAATCGAATTTATTTAACAAGCAAGAAATTATGAAGAATTACTTTTTTAATTTAAAATAAATATTTTCACAAGTATAGTTAAGCCCATCCGTGGACACACTGTATAATGCTGTAGATCTAATTCACATTATAACATCAATAGAACGTTTCAGAGCAACTTTCGGGGTAAGTACCGTAAAAGTGCTAGTGTGATGTTTTCCGAACTTCACTTTATAACTTCTACGAGATGTGCTATAAAAGTCTTGCAGTTGCGGACATTCGGTAGTTGCAGGGATAATAGGGTTACATTTACAGTACATTGCATGCGAGCTTAAAGAGCCTAAAATTGCAGCTTATTAACGTAGATGGGATGTTTTTGTGCTAGCTGGGAAGGTATAAGCGGCTGATGTGGAAATCGTGGCCGTGCGGGCCGTGTTATGTCACGCTGTGCGGGCTCAATGAGCGTACTTCTTTAGTATTTTCGTGGAGTTAGCCGACTAGAGTACTTTTACTGAGTGGAGTTTTGCCTTTAGAATCTATCTTTTGTTTTATATTTTTTATTTCTTTTCCGCGTATTTCATTGCATTAAATAGCATTTGTTTCCTTAAGTAACTTGGCAGGTACGGCTTGCCGTTTCATTGCAAGTTTTCACATCCTAGGCCGATTTTCCTTTAGTTTAGTTTTAGGAGAGACTTAACCGGAGTTGTTTAAATAACATTTATTTACTTGAAAGGGTTGGCAAAGACAGCATGCCGCTTTATATCAAGTAATTACATGTTAGTCCGTTTTTTCTTCAGTTTTAATAAAAACTATACTGGCGTCGACTAAATAGAATTTGAGGAGCTGGCGGGAAGAAAGATAAATATGCAAAAACTTTGAATTGGAGAAAATTGAATTTTTACCTTTCGAGCATTGTCTTATGGAAGGTGTAAATATAATCTTAACTTAGTATTATTTAGTATTTAGCAGTGCAGTATTATTTTTAAGTAACTTACAACAAGATACTGGTTAAAAAAAAATATTTTGCTTTTGATTTTTGATTTTTCTTATATACACACCTATTTTTGCCAGAAATAACGATGAATGTGCCTAAAATTTAAACTGAAGAAAATCGAATTTTTAAATTTAGGTCACTGTCTCATGGAAAGAGTAAAAAATATATTTTGAACTTAGTATTTACGGTCTTACGTTTCAGTAATTACCAACAAGAATAGGCACAAAGTTTTTTTTATTTAAATCAGTAACAAAAAAATGTTTATGATGCATTTTTGGAAATTATTGAAATAGGACAGATTATCATAGTATTGGCAGAGGTATTTATGCGATGTTGGCTTTTCTGCAGAGACAGCCACGGTTTCAATACAAAGTCACGTTCCATCAAACGCTAGGTACATTTATCGTTTTTCCCGCAACGGACTAAAATATTTTTAGCTACATATGGCGACCCTTATCAATATTCATGTAAATGTTTACTAGATAGTGCATATGTATCTCGATTTTCGTAAATTTTGCACCCTCATCGTTATTTTTGCCAGCTCCTCATTTATTTCCTCGAATGACCTGGCAGGGACCGCATGCCGCTTTATATCGAGTAATTACATGTTATACGTGTTTGCTTTGCATTAATTATTCCGTTTGATTAACTTTCCGAATCGCCGTGAGTATATGGTAGTTCCACGGGATTTTCCGTATTTACCTTGTGCTAAGCTTCGGCCTATTCCGTTAGTACCAAACTGGAAACCGTGTATGGTATATTAACAATTAACGCTTATTTCCACCTGAAACCATACCGTTTTTACGTATATTTATTTTTTTAAATAGTCCCTATATCGTCTGATTGAAGCCCCGCCACGTTCAATGCTTGCCAGACCTATTTTTTTTTATTATTCTCCAAAAGGTGGGCATTGAGATAAAACTAAAATGATGTATAGCTTTCGTAAGCAATAGAATAATTTAATTAAAACAACTGGTTATTAAACCGTGTCCGTCCTGACTTTTTCCCTTTTCTTTCAGCATTCGGAAAATTCTTTATTTGGCAAAAACAACGATTAAAGTCCATTGTTCGTATCTTTAATTAGGTAGGTAATTCTAAATCAACGTCACCTCTGGAATTTTTCATCTCCATCTGCAATTGCCCGAGTACTTTTGACGCCGTTTTAAGAATTAGTGGAGTAAACCACATCAAATAATCTGGCGCCCAAGTAACCGTCCGAGTACAGCACCATTCGTAAGAGTAGTTTCTCAAGAGGCGGAGAAAAACACCTTTGAAATCGTGCGAATTCTATACCAAATCAATGGTAATCCTGGTTTCATCTTAATCATGTTTTCATATTATAAGCTTTGCCCAGTCGTCTTGTATTAATTTTTCTGCATGCTTCACTCAGTTGTCTCAAATTTCTTTTGTTCGAAACTTTTTGATAATGTTGTTCTCCCATCCATTTCTTCTAATGTAACGATAGTAGTAGTAGACCAACTAAATCGGTAATATTGACAATATAGAAATAGTCACAATACCGAATACCTGATGTATTTCGTCTATTGCATATCTAGTATTTAAAATCGGTATTTTCAACTTTAAATAAAGTGTAATTTTTATATCCCTGCTAACTTAAGTCATTATTCACTTCTGTATAAAACTAACTGGCATATAAATTAGTATTGTTACACAGCACCCTGTAGTAGCCTGCGGCTGGTACAGGAAACGAACGAATAGTGTGCTGCTGTAGTAATAAGTAAAAGTACAAGTAAAAGAAGATAGAATAGTCCAGAAATGTCTGAAAATGTCATTCCACGTCAAGGAAAAATCGAGATAGTTCGAAAAGGTTCGAGAAAGTGAAAGCAAGCTATATATGCAGTGATCCTGACGTCAGTTTTTCAGTTCTATGATAGACGGTACATGTTAATGTTATCAGTTGTATCGTTATTGTAAAAGTTGAGTTGAAATAAATTAAGATACCAAAAACCTGAGTAACAGTATTTTCTGACATATGAAGTGTACTTAACTGATGGATAAATAAATATATGAGATTATATTATGACACAGGTGTCCAACATATTGTTATATCCTACACCATGCAGTAGCCTATGGAAACATACGAATAAAAGAAGAAGTACAATGTCACCCATCACCCTACGGTGTGCTGCGGTCATCATAAGTAAAATTACGAATAAAATAAGAAGCGAGAACTGTTTAGAAATGTCATTCCATGTCAAGAAGCATCTGGAAGTTTCGAAAAGGTTCAAGGGAGCTACATAAGATATAAGTCGATTCTGACATCACAGTTTCAATTTGATGATAAACGTTGAACGTTAATGTTAATAGTTGTATATTGTTGAGTTTGAAATAAATTGAGTTTACCGAAAACCACCGTCTATGAAGTATTTGCCACAGAAATAGTTTATTTGTTATTATGGACGTTGAAGTTGTACTTGATAATGACCTTTTTTTTTAAATCATGCAAATAAGTTACAAACCGTAATAAGTAGCAGTGGCATATCGCTGATGGAAAAGAAGTAACCGTATCTAATCGTTACCTAGCTCTTTGTGGAACAGCTACTGGAATTGCCATCAGTAAATCAGAGGTGTCCACTCAGACTACCTAAATTGTTATTAATAATACATCCTGTTTATACTTGTCAAAGTTATGTTTATTGTCATGTTAATGCCAAGCGCATTTCTAGTTTAATAAAGCCTAGTTTTTCCATTGGTTTTCATATCAATCGCACGCATACATCCATTGATATAAATTTAGCTACATATCCACAGAACGTTCAAAAGTACCGGATAATTACGCTACCGCTGATGTCTCTTGAAAAGAGATAATAATCTACACCAACACCAACTATAGCAATGGCACTATTTTAAAAGCGTGCGCCTTTGTTAAAACTAATTCTTCAACTTCGTAACCATTTCTATAACTTCCGTTTAGTCCACGAAGGTTGGGGGTAGTTTTTTATTAAAAAAATGGTAGGAAGCATTAACCATAACCATTAGCGATATTTTCTATAACATTGGTATTAAAGTTTTATATGCCATTTCTTGAAAGATCCCTTATTCGTAAAATCACAATAGTCTACATTTAGTATTTAGATCGTCACGTTCTATTCTCTTGCTTTCATGTCATAAAATACGTTTCTACTTGCTCCTTTTACAGTATCACTTATATCATTAGTCTTTTACTTCAGCATAATGTGCGATTGTCCTGGCGTTGTTATGTCTGTTTCCACCATGTTTTCCGTTCTTAAACGTATCATAAAGCGAATACTGATTTTTAAAACATATGCAACTCCAAGGAGGAGTTGCAGAATCCATCAAATTAAACAAATTGCATATTTCCTTTACTTATCGTGCTTCCAAGCATATTAGAATTAACACCTAATGACTAAGGTTATAATATTTTTTCGATTTAAAATTGAAATTTCACTGTTTGAAAGAAAATAGTGACAGGAAACAATATCTACATTGAAAAAACGACTAATTAAAAATGCAACCAAATTTACGAAAACAACATAATTCACAAGCTAGGCATTCAAATAGGGACAAAAACACAAATGGATTAGTTTTTAACGAAGACAAACATGTCATAAAAACAGATAACAAATAAATAAGAAAGCAGTAGGCAAATAAGACTATGCATGGCACAAATTTTATAGCAAAAAAGAAGTTATAAGTAACTCGTTAAATAAAGACAAACGCAATAAATGGATTAGTTTGTAAAATGAGAAAAAAACGAATGCAAAAACTTAATGGACAAAGAAATTAAGTTTTCCAATGAAAATTTTTTTAGCACTAACAAATAGGAAAACAAAAATGAATGAAGTTTGTGGTATGATTTTTGATGTACCTCAATTCTGGAATGCTACTACTGGACACAAACGTAACATTCGGGTTTGTTCCCAAGTCTATGCCCCCCGAACACATCAGCCTATCCTTATATTCCAACTTCGCTTCTCTCTCTCCATTCCCCTCAAATTTTCTACTACTCGAACTGCTTTCGGACTTTGAGTCCATTATGTTACTAAAAATTAAAACGGAAGAACTAAATTAAAAATCCGTAAACTGTACTAATTAAAAAAGTCATCGTGTACTATTTATCTCGGACAGACTGGCAGGAAGTTCAGATCAAGTTTAGTGGAACTATTTACTGACAGGAAATTAGGATCAAGTGTAGTAGAATTAGTTTGGAACAACCTTTACGAATAAAAATTTGAATTATTTTTTATAATTAAAAAACTTATGTAATAACTATATAGGGTGAATCGGTTTTAAGGAGCATTTAATGATATATCAAGTGCGGTGGAACAGATCAAATAAGAATATAAAGCAATCGGTAAACTAAAAAGCGAGAGGTAAGTTTATTGGTTTAAAAGATTTTACTCACAGCGGTAGATGGTTTTTCACAGCCTCTAGGGGTTTGCAAATGGCTTTTTGCGAATTACTTCGACAAAGAGATTCCACTTGATCGAAATTTACGCTAGATTTTCTATTCATCAATTTTCTATTCTTTTCTGAATTATCCTGTTGAGATCCCTCGCGTAGTAGTTTTTGGTCGGTTTCGGTACTGCTAGATTCGGTTTCTACTGTTTTTCCTATTGGAATATCGGTACCTAAAACAGAAATTAATAGACAATTTGGAAAAGGGCGCATTTCATATTTTTCATTATAGCATCTATATGTGCATTTTTTCCACAATTTTAATTTTAAAATTTTTAACTAAGCCTAAAAATTCTAAGATTTTTTTGTTACCTATTTCTTTATCACTTTTGGCCGGCACAACACTGTCGGCTACCGGGCTGTTTCTTCTATTAGTTCCTAAAGGTGCTGATTTTTGAATGTCACATTGTACTTCCCTATCAGTTTCTGCAGTTTGCATTTCCGATGACTGTTTATTGACAGACTCACTATCTTGTTTTCCTGATTAAAGGCAAATTAAACACAAATTAGTTTTTCTTTGAAATGTAAGCAAAATATAAAATGTGACAAATGCGCACAATCATAATAATGCTCGTTGCCAGCTCACATCATCGATAACATTGATCCGATCTTTTGGCAGTTTAAAGAATCGCACTCTAAAAATTTTAAAATATCACTGTCGTCTAAAAAGGGACAAAAATATCTCCAAAATAATCTGATATCTGTATTAAAACTTCTATTAAAGTCCATATCGAAGCTTTGAAATTGAAATTGTGCAATACCAAACACGAACGTGTCGGGAGAGTACCTTACTTTCTTCTTGGGAGAATAGAGCAGGCCATGATGGTCAAATTTGGTCTTACAATGTCTCTTATCTTATAGTTTGGGTGAAATATTTAGTCCTAAAATGTATAAAAATATAAAATACCTAAAGTAAAAAAATGGCTAGATTGGCGCTCGTACGTGGTGATCTAAAGTTACTACAGCGTACTTTAGAACTCTAAAGCAAACTATAGCAAGTGGACCCTTTAGTGCTCCAGAATAAATTGCCTAGAGTTGGCCTAAATTATCTACAGTGACTTAATATCTGTAAAGCATACAGATGGTTCGTAGGTGGATACAGAACATGCTCTCAAAGAGAGTAGTAAACATAAGTGTAGAAGATGTAAATATAAAAGGCTGTTTGTTGAGAGGGAGGGGTACTATAACCGCTACAATGAAACATGGTCGACAGTTCCTACACAATAGCAGATGATCTGGTCATTTTGCTAACTGGAAATTTTGAGAACATACTCTGCGAAAAAATGCAAGTAGCTCTCAAAATTATAGAACAGTAATGTAAGGACCATTCACTATCAATCCCAAGAAGATATAAATGGAACTAAAATCTCCAGAGCTCCTAAATACAAAATTAAATTTTACAACAGAGGAGACGTACCTAGGTCTCACCTTTGACATGTTAACATGGAACGCACACTTAGAAAACAGAGTCAAAAAAACATACACTGCTTACGAAAAATGCCGCCGAACCGTGTGGCACAACTGAGGCACCTCCCTCAGAGTTGGGGGTTCCGAAAACCCAACAATTGACAGCTATCCGCAAACTAGAACAAATTCAAAGAACAGCATGTCTTAACATAACAGGAGCCATGGAAGTCATTCTTAGTCTCACTCCTCTTGATATTTACATCAAGAAGGTTGTTCTGATGACAATGATACGACTCTGCACGGTTGAAATAGAACCTGATGTAGGATGTGGTGAGGCGAGACGTGGCTTTTGGCAGAACACGCTCTATACGCTTCCACTCCTTCAAGCGAACATGGTCTCCATCTCACCGAGATATATCTTCCATAAGCCATATAAAGTTATAATGGGACAAATAGTAGAGCCGGAAGGAGCAGGTACGATTCATATCTACACCGACGCGATGGTTCTAAAACAAAACAAGGCTCAAAATGTGGAATATACTACAGATCCTTAAACCTAAACATAAAATGGGCTGTGAGCAACAGTGCCAGTGTAGTTCAAAACGAGCTCACAAGGATTCTTATATCAGCAAAAGGAGAAACAATGCGCTACTTCAGTGATGATGTAATTATGGTTCCACTGACAATTAAAGTGACAGTAGATTTTTTGAGTGCGTTATGTTCGTTTTGATTACCTAAATTATATCGTTTTTTCACTTTTATAAATATATTCCCAAAGTAAGTAAATAACATGCATCAAATATACAATCGTTTAGTTACAAATTATATACATTTAAACTATTTTTTATGACTTGTAAACAATAATTAAAAATAAACTTAAAACAGTAAAAACGTATATGTCAAATTTGTTGATGTTTTTGTTAAAAGTTTGGTTAGAATTAAAAGTGGAACCAAAATGACATCACACTGAACTAGCGCATATTATTGGAAGGAACATGCTTATCTATACAGATAGCAGACAAGCACTAACTCTGGACAGATCACGAATTTACTTAGGGTTAGTACTATAGGAAGCTTTGGTCGAAGTATCCATCAACAATATGGTCACCCTTAGGAGGATCAAAGGTCACGGCATACAGAAAGACGGTTACCTTTCTGCTGATTCACTAGCTAAAAAGGCAGCCAATCAAATAATATATTTGGACTCACAACATCGGTAGTGACAAATCTAATTAAAGAACTATCCCTTGTGAAATTCAAGGAAAGCTGGGGTGAAACAGTAATCTGCAGAGTTGTCTTTTGTTTTTTAGTTATCTACCACAGAAAACGAATACTTAACTAGACAGAATCTGCTTCTGATCACAGACATTCTGACTGGTCATTGTCAAATACGGAAGCATCTCCATAACATGGGGCTTTTAGAACCGCACTCTGTAGGAGGTGCAACAAGAAGATGATACCATTGAGTATATCCTCTACGGTTACCCGAAGCTCTCATTTAATAGTGGATTTGTGTTCTTGACTATTGGCTAACATCGGCCAATATAAGAGAAGCGACATTATCAACTACATTAATCTTTAGGCTGGCTCACGAGCTAGGAGGTGCTTATCAACGTAGGAGGATGCACGTTACAAATACAGATATCAGTAAATTAAGGACCTAAAATCCTCCCTAAAAAGATTGACCTTGAGGAAACTAATACCTCGATTGGCATTTCAAATTTCCTTGTCCCTTTTGCGTATATTTTGAAAATATTCAAATCGTACACTAAAAAATCTTACCTTTTTGTATGGGATCCGGTGCAAAACAAATATTTTCTCTCTTTGGGCTGGGCGGCAGCTCTTGTAGATCACTCTTCTCCTTACTGCTCTGCTTCAAAATGCTTTTCGTTCTTTCTATCTTCGGCTTCTGAGGAGATTGTTTAGGTTGTAAATCGTTATTGTGTTCAACTGGCCCTTCTGAATGACCGTTCTGAATGGGAGGCTTAGTGATGAGATTTTGCGGCCTGGGTACTTTTTCTTTGTTCACGTGATCTTTTGGCACTACTCGGATTTCTAATTTGCCCGCCACCTAAAAAATTTATTGGCTTAATCTACGAGGTCTGACAGTTAAATAACGGGACTGCTTATGGAAAAGAGATTTATTTTAAAAATTATTCTACAATCGAATGCTTCCCTTCAATGTACTCCCTCCCCTCCTCACACACCGTTCCATTCGTATTTTCCATTGGTCAAAGCATCAATGCTGGAAGTCTTCTTTTGTAAGAGTATTTAGGAGCTCTGCGATGTTCGCTTCATTTCTTCCATCGACTCGAACCGGGTTCCTTTTAAGGCAAACTTGATCTTCGGAAACAGGAAAAAGTTACAGGATGCTAAATCTGGCGAGTACGGCGCATGTTCGGTATTGGATTGCCTCTAGCGGATAATTAACGCGTTACAGACAGCGCGTTATGGGCAGGTGCGTTGTCCTGGTGCAAAATCCGCGGCTTTTTTTCCACAACTCCAGCTGTTACTTACGAACTCTCTCTCACAGTGTTGGCAAAACTTTTAAATAGTAAGTTTGGTTTACAGTTTGACTCTCTGGAATTAATTCAGTCATCACGATGCCGTTGATGTCGAAAAAAAAAACGATTAGCATGTATTTCAATTTTGATTTCGACATTCATACTATTCGAAAAAACGCGTACGAGATAGAGAATTCTCACCATAGGCCTTTTTCAACAAATGATAGCACTCATTTGGTTTTTTTTTTAATTTAACGAGAAGTTTCACATTGATCCGTTGCTCATGTTTTTTTTTTAAAAACACGTTCTTTTCTAACCTCTATAGAAAAAAATACTGCTACAACGACAAAAAAATGTATTCGTACTTCAATTGTAGACACTTCCAGCTATCCCCCGCCAACCTTGCATTTTTTAGTTAAAAAGACTTACCTCTTGCAATCCTTCGTCCTCTCCATTCGGTTGTTCCTTTTTGCTACTCGTGTCATTCTTGAATTCTTCCTTATCGGGAAGATTTATTCCAGGCAGGCTGTTGCATCTGTGAGATTCCGTCAATTTGACTGGTTCCTCTTCATTTTCTGTCAGTAAATGTTTGGAAGCCACGTTGCGCATGACGTCAACTTTGAAAACGAGATCGTCGAAAGCTGCTTGTTGTAGGAGTGGTGGTTTCAAGTTGGATCTAACACAGGGACCCAGACAGGGCGTTGACCATGCCCTTGGTAGTCCTCCTGAAGAAAGATAGTTAAGGTCAAAAGAGTACCAAAGAGCGAGGAATAAGTATAATATATTTGCAGATAAAGTTGGTCAGATAAGTCAACTTTCCTGTATTTTCCTGTTGATTATATTTATAATACTTTCTACTCTTCTTTTAATTTTAGATTATCGTCAAATAAGTAAAGCTTATGTAACAAAAATTTAAATTCTCTGCAGGGTGTGTCAAAATATGTCGATTGGACCCAATTTATAAGTATGCCAAAATGTACCGTTTGTTTTTAAGGTGATTACAGCACCCCCTTATAATTTTCAGACACGGATATCTCGAATTTTAAAAAATCATTAACAAAAGATTAAGAGCTTAAATTTGGGGATTGTATTAAGAATAGTGCTGTTGAGGAATGCATTTATTTTCATTATGATATTTCAAAATTTAAAGCCCTTTGATTTTTTTTCTCGGAAACTGGAAGGAATTAAAACTTTAAAAAATATGCATATTCTAGATATTATTGCCTTATTTATTTTGCCCAAATTTAAGTTTTCTAAAAAAATTACTTTTTGAGATATCCTTGTCCGAAAATTATAAGGGGGTGCTGTAATCACCTTAACTAGAGTTTACTTAAAAAATCACATTTTTGTACACTGTTCAGAAATGTGTAAAACAAATTTAATGAAATTTGGAAAAAGTACATTTTAGAGGTTAACTTACTTTCAGTAATCATAGAATCCCAAAAGAAACTACCCTAACCCTTTGTAATTTTTCCTAAATCTTCTTGGGGCGGAGGGGGGGGGGTGGTAATACGGTAATTCTTGAAAAAATTCCGCATTTCGCATAGTTCCGATATTCTTAGCACAAGTTTAATAAAATACATGAAATACATAACATTAGTAATATACAAAATTTAGTTGGCGGTGGACACAAAGACAAAACTTTTTTACAACTGTTCAATTTGACTTCTACCTTTATTAATGCAGAGATCAATTTAACGTAAAAAATTTTAATGCACCCTTCTTAAAACATCGTCGTTTTCTAATAGTGCTTTTACAGCATTTTTAATTCATCCACAGTTTTTCGGAATTATTATTTTGAACCTCGTACCCTTGTTTTTAACGCCCCCCAGATGAATAATTCACAAGATTTTAAATCTGGAGACCGCGGAGGCCATTAAATGGGTGCTTCTTGTCCCCTACCAATCTATCTACAAGTAAATTGTTCATTATGATATTCACTTACGGCACGTGCAAAATGCGGTGGTACACCGTCGTGCATGAAGAACGTATTTCGGCGCGAAATAAAGGGCAAGACTACTGATTCTGGCAAAATTTCTTGAAGGAAACTTAGATAACTAACGCCATCTGGATGATCAAGCAATCGGAACGGCACAACCAAAAAATAGCTAATAATTCTGACTCGGACATTAATTTTAAAGTCTCGTTGATAATATCTACCTTTAATAGCATGTGTATTTTCATTTCATAAATATGCTCACTGTGCAGATTCGTTGTGCCACGACGTGTAAAACAAGACTCATCAGTAAACAAGACATTAGTGTGGAATCCGTTGTCCCGAACACTTTGTGAAAAACTTAACGTGATCTGTGGTCAAGTGACAATAATTCTTGCACTATCTGGAAGTGGGATGGACGAATTCATTTATCACCAAAGATCCAATTTACAAATCCCTCCAATTATTTATTTGAGATGGGATATCATAATTAAAGATCCCCCAATTACCACATCTAAAAAAATACTATGGGGTGGGGGTCCACCGGTGTAGGATTACTAGCGGGAGACTGCTTACTGAAACATCTTCATGTAATGAGAATACACAATGATCCCACCACTTGTAGACTCTGCATATGGAAGAGGTAGAAACCTCATACCATGATGTTATATTCAAATGCGAAGCTCTCACTAAGAGTCGCCTCACCCTTTTCGGCCTAGAACCGGAAAGAACGCCCCAGGAACAATTTGTAGGGAACTTAGTAAAACTAACCAAAGGCACAGAACTATTCCAAAGATAATATCTGAATACGGCGAAAGCAGGGAAATACAATATACCCAAGTGGTCGCAGTTGTCTGGGCCAAATCTAACCCTATCTGCGTATAACCGACAAAGATAAAAATGGAGTGAGGGTGATTTTAACCCATATACAATTTGCTTTAGGTTTCTTTGACTACTGAAAGGAAGGTAATCCTCTAAAATGAACTTTTATCAAATTTCATTAAATCTGTTTCGCTCATTTCTGAACAGCGTGTAAAAATGTGATTTTTTGAACTTTTTTTACGGGCACACTGTACATTTTTCTATGTGTATATATTGCTTAAAATGGACCTATTTTGACCTCAACAATTTTGGAACACCCTGTATATGTGTAATGGAAAATCTCTGGTAACAAATGAAAGGACCTCTTAACTACATTCCAATAATTAATATCTCAATTTTGATATCCTGCACTTACATTACTAAGATTTAAGATGGGTTCGTTGGGTTTTAACCTTTCAATTTGCGTATTTAGAAAAATAGCCTTGACCTTGACCTTGAAAGGTTTCCCAGTGACGAAATATCCAGAAAAAAATAAACCTCTATAGCATTGGTTAGGTTTTCAGGTTTATTAAAAAAATGTTTAGATAGTTGAAATTTAAGTAGTGTATAAAACCGAGTGACACAAATTTCAAGGTCATTCGGTTTGGCGCTAACCTTGACCTTGAGAATACGATGTATTCACTAGTAAAAAACGCTAAGAAATCTCATAAAACCGATCTGAAACTGATCTTGTGAGCAAGCAACAGCAAAAAATAGTTCCAGGACGTAATAGATACACTGTTTTCCGTCATATACAATAAAAATAAAACATAGTTTAACTTAAAACATTTACAACAGTGACAGTTATTTTCAAAATGTTTATGAGGTCTGTCACTTTCGAGACTATTCCTGTATAGGATCTATTTTAGAAAAATGTCTCTAAAATATATTTGCTTACGCATACCTTATTACAATAAATTGAGTAGTGGGTGCAAGGAGCAAAATAAAAGAACCTTCGTTTTAAAAGTTTTATTTCTTTTTATATTTACATTATATAAAAATTATAATAAAAATAAAAGGGAAAAAGTAAAATAATTATTTTGTTTTTTAAGTTTTATTCATTTTAATTTAAAATTCATAAAATAAACCACAAAATTACAAAAATGGCAGTTACAACGAAACTGTTATTGAGATAAACTAATCCTTTAGAGATGACTGAACTATCGACAAAGTTGTGGATGTGAAAAACAACTTCAAATCTTCTTCCATTTCCATTTGACACCAACATTATTTTCTGTGAGATCTTCTTTACGTAATATACGAGTACGATCCAATAATTCTGTCTTGAGGGAATTGTTTGGTTGTTAAATGATCACTGTAAATACTACAAAATTGTGTGATAAGATTCTCTTTTTTTTTTGGCAGATATTTCATAATTTTTATAAATACCAGTTTAGTTTTTTATGGATTATTGTCTTTTAAAGTAAGCCTTAATTTAAATGTATAACTACTACAAAAAAATAATTCTACCAATAATTAGAAGTACATTGATAACCTTTCTCAGTTATTACAACTTAATCACAAAATAACTAAATGTTCGTCAACTTTAATAACGACGGTTAATTTTTAATTGGCTTTTGTCATAATATATTTTGTAAATTTGATATTGTAATTATTTTACGTAATTTTTTAAACGTTTAATAATTTGGCTTATATTCCCAGGGTTAATAAAAACAATTTACAGTTGACAACCCCTAGTAATTCTAAATAACCTTTTTGCATTTTGATATAACCAGGAACTTATCAAGACCAACGTAGGAAATTTCCTAATACATTTTTTTAAATTACCCGCTACGTCGACATGTTTTATTAGACTTAGACAATGCTGATTAGTGGTTTATTGAGAAAATGAGAGGATTCTGTTACCGAGTTAGATCCGAATTTAATATTCAAATGAACTTCGGACATCTAATGTTCTGATGCTTAAGTTGGTAAGGCAGCAAACGAAGAAAGATAATGTGGAGGGTTAGAGTCCTTCCCGGGACAATAAATTTATAAACATTGTTTTCTGATCATTAATTGATAGCTTTTTAGAACTTTAAACTGATTCCATCTATAAATGAATAATCGTTCTCAACAGAATTAAAAACAGTCATGGTATGAGCAGCATATGATGGTAGGAGAGCCAGTGACACGTTTTTGATATACATTTGGGCAGCGGAAAATTTCAAATTTATCGTTTATTCTTGCTTTTATAGAAGAAAGGTACGGAATATGGAAATACTTTGCTGTAGACGCAACAGTGGTAAAGCGCTCGAAGACGATATCGTAAATAAGTCGTTGAAGAAAATGCTGTCATAAAAGCGCAAGCTTAAAACTCACACATAATAATAATTACATAAAAAGTGAATAGAAAACTAAGTTATTAGCAGAAATTCCAAGATCTATTTCTACGTAATATTCACTTAACTATCCTTAGGAAGTTGGTGGTACCTATTTCACATATTTGTAATAATGAGTGGCTATGAAATGTCAACATCATTGTTGATATTGGGCAACTTATGCTTGGAACTCGACTGATCGGACAGAACACGCACGGAGTACGTGACGTCATAGACAAAGTTAACTCTTTTTTTTATAATCTCAAGACGAACACTAGGGAAATGACAAATGACATTAGTAGTAGTTTGCACTACAATACACTTTGTATGTGTGTATGGACTGTAAAAAAATAATTTAAATTAAGTAGGAAATAGATATAACAAAAACAAAGAAGAAATAATACGTGTAGAACTTATTAATCATAGATCAGAATATTGACAATTGGTATATCTGACACATTTCTACAGGTACTCGTTGATCTCCACCGGCCTATAACTCGGGGAAGAGTGAGCGCGCTCTGAGTGCGTGATATATTGCAAGCCGAACACAACAGAGTACGCCTGAGTGCCAAGACGATCACAGTTGAGGCCGAGGCATACCGAGCAG